CCACCTGCAAGGAAGAGACAGACAGGTGGTGACCAATGAGTGAGATGCAGGAGATACAGCAGTGGGTCAGTAACTCTCCCTGCACTCATCACTGTGCAGGCCCAGGCCTGGGAGCTCCTGTCCCACACAGAACAGATGCAAGTGTAAGCCCACCTTCTCCACCCTCCTGTGGGAAGCGCCGTGTAACCTCTTCTCTTTTTCCCACAGGGAAGGAAGGTCCCAAGCTTTACACTCAGTTTGGGGAAGCTGGGCCAAGGGCCAGGATCTTAGGTCATGAGACCAGAAGTGGCAATGCTCCCCACCTCCCACCTAGCCCAGGCTAATCAGACTTGGACAGAGTACTGGGACTCAGAGAAGCAGCCCCCTGACCACCTGGGAGATATCGAGCAGGACAGCCTTGACCCTCAGTACCCCCAACTCTGAAAGACAGGCATAGGGAGGATGGAAATGCTCTCAGGAGCTCACCCAGAAAGAAAGCACTGGAGGAATTAAAGGCCTTCCCTTCAGCTTAGAACTCAAAATGTGCCCTCCTCCAGCCACAGGGACACTTGATTCTGTGGCTGGGAGGTATAGATCCTAAGGACCAGAAAGCCTGATCCCTTACCAGTGGCACAGCAGCAGTTGGGGTCACTTGGAGTCAAGGTGAAACTGGAGATCCAAGCAGATAAGAGGCAGCTGAGCTTGTAGAAGGTGTCCTGGAGCCTAGAAGCAGATGAGCTCCATTTATACTCAGGGGAGGGGGCCAGGCTCAGCAGCCCTGCCCTGGCCCTTGCACCCACCCTACCGTGTCGGCGCCTCCTGCCATCCTTGCCTGGACTGTCCTTGCCAAGGACATCCTTGCCAAGGGAACTTCGTTGAGCCCTGCAGTTCACCCCTTTCCAGGTGGGGACGGGGCTTCTGGGAACTCAACCATGCGGTTCTGACATTCCCCCACCCCCAGCCGTGGACAGTTGTCCTCTGCGTCACCTTCTGGGAGCCCAACTGCAACCCCAGGCTCACGCTCACGTCCCTGGATAGGCACGTGCAGAGGATTGGCCATGGATGGGACCTTGGCTTCCCCCACTCTCCCGCATTGCCTGAACCTTTCCACAGGTGTGTCTCTAGGACTTGTTCCTTGTGGAGTATGCATAAAGCGAGTGAACTTCACAGGGCCTGGTTTTCCAAAGCCTTGCAGTTTCAAATATTGACCTTGCAAAGGACAAATTTTCCCCAGGCTATAGTCTCTGTTGTAAGATAAAGAATTGGAACACAGCAAGGTTGCTGGCTCAAAGACAGACAGGTTACTGATTGGTATGTAAAGATACTAGGAAATTGCTGTAAGAAGAGAATGTTTGCTAAACTCAAGCTTTTGTTAATGGATAGAGTTAATTGCATTATAAAATGTCACCTTGCTTATCTTACTGAAAGTTACCAGCTTCTATTGTTAAACTTGTTAAACTATACTTAGCAAAAACCCCACCTATGTTCTCTTCCTGTAACTTCCTGGTCTGGAGAATAAATGTGGGAAGTGAACCCCAATTCGTGGTTAATTTCCCAAATGGAAGGAATGCCTCTATCTTGAGGGTTCCGGGAAATTAACCCCTTTTCGGGGCTTCTCACTGCTCAGAAGAGATGAGCTTTGAGTAATCTTTGGCAGTTCCGTCACCAGGGGAAAAGGGGTGACAAATTCGTGGGAGGCAAAGCCACAGTTCCTCCTGTACACAGAAACATAGCGAATACGGTCTGTCTCTTTCTTCCATTTTCCGGGCCTGAGGGGATGAGCGGAAAATGGAAGGATCTTCCTTTGCATAAAATTCTCTAGGGTCTCCCCGCAGCCTAGTCAGCCCACGCCACTCCAGGATGGCAGTTTTGAAAGTGTGAGATGCTCCCCAAAGAGGGATCATTTAAAGTGATATGCAGATCTTGCATTAAATAAATAGCAATTCAAGTGATGATTTCCTATTACATAGCATTTACTCTGTGCCAGGCAATGTTTAATCACTTTTGTTATTTGAACCCTCACAACAATCCTAAAGGGAAATACTATTTATGACCCAACTGTTCTAGCAATCTGATAACTACAATACTTCGTATCCAAAGATCTTGCTCAACCTGACAGAGCTAGGAATTTGTTCACTGATTTGAATTCAGTCAGCTTCTCAAGGGAGAGAGGTGGCCATGATAAATCCTTCTTTTGGTCCAGGTATGTCTTCAACACTTCTCTATTGCTGGAAATCTTTTAAACAAGAGCATGCCACCAGCTCAACATGGGCAGTGACACACGCAACCCATAAGTGAAATACACACATGTATGTCATTAATAATCTGGCTATCTTCTATGTGTCGAATAAGATGACTTTTGTTTTCAGTACTGGTAAAAAGTTTGGTTTTTATATAAATATATTTAAGAAAATATGAATAATTTCCAACCTAAAATGTTGAGTAAAATATGATGCAAGTGGTAGCAGAAATGGCAGTCATCCTTTCGTATCAAACATGAGGCACGCAGTCTTGGTCATGTCTTTATACCCCTAAGGTGGATTGCAATTATGTGGGTAGAGTGAATGACTGTCTTTAAACCACAGGTTATATGTTCATGTAGTAGATGTGAACAACATAGGATGCCCAGCTGAGCACACCAGAACTGGCTGCTTTGCTGTCTGTAAATAAATATCCCCTATGTTATGTATATTCACAAAAATGCTATAACTAATACATAGACCACTCATTTGCCAGGCACCATTCTAAATTCCTTACATGTATTAACTCATTTAGTACTATAAGCCAGTCACTCTTATTTGGCCCCTATTACAGTGGAGGAGAGGTTATGTCACCCACGTATAAGTGACAGAGGTGGGATTTACACTCATGCAGGCTGGCTGTGACAACAGACTGACTCACCCATTCCACTATGTCACATGAAAGACGAGGACACTGAAAATCTGGCACGGAGACAGATTTCTTCGTACAACTCTGGGATCTCTCTGGGCTTAGGTTTCCCAACTCTCAAGCCAAGAGTAAAATTAGTTCATCCCAAAGGGCCTTACAGCTTTAAACCAAGATAAGCAGGGTTTAGCATCCAGTGACATCATGATCTACCAGCTGTGGCCAGGGTTGAGAGGCCAGCTGTAGCATGTGTTCATTCATATCTTTACTTCTGAGCTGTGTGACCTTGGGAAAGTTGTTTAACTACTCTGGAACTTGGAAGATGGCACAATCACTCCAGCCCCTGCATATTTGCTGTCACATTCATGAGGCCTGTGGCTCTCGTTCACTGGGTTGTGTGAAGATCAAATATCTTTGGAGGGTGGGAAAAGGCTTTTATGTCTGTTCAAATGCTGGGGCAGTGTGTCATCACAGAGGGCTTCTGTAGGACATCCCCCACTCCTCCTGGCACTGGATCAGCTAGGTGCCAATCCCACTCCCTGTATCCAATCCCAAGTAATGCTTCTAACCCTGTGAACCTTTCCACAGGAGCTCGTTGGCATTTAGCAGGATTCATTCTTCAGTGGGGGCAGAACAATCATAATCACCAGTGTTTGTTCAACCATAGCCAGGAGCCAGACTAGTATCATACTTAATCCCTACATTGAGATATAAACTCCTTTCTCCAAATGAGGAACTGGAAATTCAGAGGCTGAGTGACTTGGGCCAAGCCACACAGCCAAAAGTGTGATATGAAGTGTGTAAGGTGTGAACCAGGACTACCTGACCCAAAAAACCCTGCACTTGGCACAGACTACCTTCTGAAATGCCCTCTTCACACAGAGAATCTGCAGGCAAGCAAGGTCCTGACTTCTAGTCCAAGATACTCATCTTCCTCTTTGAGTGAACATCAAATAGCATTCCCTCAATAGCCAGGGGGACTAACCGTTGGCATTAATTACAAGTCACCCTAGACTTACTCATTCCCAATAAACACCACCACATCTTCCAAACTGCAGAAACTGCCATTACTCCTGTACTTGCAAATAAGAAGTAATTCATGTGTAACCAATTTACGGGTTCACTTTACCTTGCCTCAAGAATACCAGGCAATTCCCTCTTAATCTAGTCACTTTGCTGGTTTGAAATAGCCAAATGCTGGTATTTGAAATAGGACCAAATTCAGCTGACCTTGGGAGGAACCTCCAAAGAGAGCCAAGTCACAACAGGAAGGTCTCAGTGGTCAGTGACTGTCCTGTCAGTGGTACTGAGCAAGCCAAGACTGATGGCTCCACGTGGGGATGTCCTGGCCAGTGCTGCTCAAGGTATGTGATCCATACACTTGGGCTAGTCTGCAATTCATACCCTTGAATGAATGTGCAGTATTTGTAATTCTTTTATTTTCCTGTTATTTTGTTCTTCATATGAATGTGTGTGTGTGTGTGTGTGTGTGTGTGTTTTGGTGTCTGGCTTGTACAGATTTGAACCCATAACCTTGGTGTTATAAGGCTGCACTCTAACCAACTGAGCTAACCAGACAGCCTGTTCTTCATACGTTTATTAAAATTTACCTGTTAAATCTAAAAAATGTGTTTTGTATTTTTTAATTTCATTATCCCCATAATTAATATCATTTATTTCACCAAGGTTTGGGTGTGCCATGGATAGGAAATATAAACTGTTTCTATATCATGGAGTTTGAGAAACCCTATATAGGATTCAAGCAACTGAGGAGTTGGATTCTACCCCTATACTCACTTTCAAGCCTAAAATCTGATGAGGAACTGAAGTTGGGCAGGGAACTCAAGAGAGTGAAAATGAGGGATTGAGAAGCTTCTGTGCCATCAACAGCTGACATGAGAAGAGAGGGGATCCTGTATATGCCCCAAACCAATGATCTGGCTTAATCCTCTTCCATTTCACAGAAGAGGAAGCTCAGTGAGGTGACCTGGCTTGCCAGAAGGCACTCAAGTTCAGTTTGTTAGGGGCTGACAGTTCAATCTAGAGCCCCCGTCTTTGAGTCCCAGTGCAATACCTACCCCCCACCCCCACCAGTCCATTATTTCCAAGGCCCAGAAAAGAAGCCAGAGACAAAGTGAAGCCAAAGACTTTTATTATCATTCAGATATTTCATAGAAGGAATGTAGCAGATGGGTCAGGGGGTTATGAAAAAAATCCAAGTTTATACACATTGAGGTATTTACATCAGGGAGCAGGGCTCTCCACACATCAGGCGCAGCAACTGCATTTATCTGATGCTCCTTTGCAGACACAGCCCTGGGCACACTTGGCACAGTCCACAGGGCAACAGGAACAGCAGCCTGAGAATGAAAGGGAAGAGTGAGGTCAGAGCAGACTTACTAGGCACCTCCCTGCCCCAACAGCAGGCCTGGAATAGGCTCTGCCCCCAGCCCCTGGACACTTTTTTAGATAGGAGAGCTCTGTTCTGACACAATAGTTGGTACCTTTGTGGTTTGTGTCCTAATAGAAAAAGACTGCCCAGTTCCACCTGAGCTCAGGAAAGGGCAAAACGCCTGGAGAGGGTATGACATGGCCTCTAGGGGCAAGGAAGGCCAGGTGCCCAGAAGCATAAACTCAGAACCAGCTCTGGGTTTCCTCCCAACATAGCCACAGCCCCAGATTCCCAGGGAAGGCCCCCACTCACTCTTCTTGCAGGAGGTGCATTTGCACTCTTTGCATTTGCAGGAGCCAGCGCAGGCACAGGAGCCACCTGCAAAGAAGAGAAAGACAGGTGGTGAGCAGTGAGTGAGATGTAGGAGATAACCCGGCAGTGGGTCAGTAACTCTCCCTGCACCCATCACTAAATGGGCTCAGTCTTGGGAGCTCTTGTCCGGCACCGAACAGATGCAAGTGTAACCCCAGCTTATCTACCCTCCTGCTGGAATCATAGTGCACCTTCTCCGTTTTTCCCATAGGGAAGCAAGGTCCCAGGCTCCAGACCTGATTCAGGATGTGTCAGGGCCAGGATCTTAAGTCGTAATCCAAGAAGCGCCTTGCTCCCCATCTCCCACTCAGCCCAGGAAATTCACGTCTGGACAGAGCACTAGAGTCAGCCCAGCAGCCTCCTGACCACGTGGGAGATATCGAGAAGGACACTCTTGACCTTCGGTACCCTCAACCATGAAAGAGAGGCATAGGGAGGATGGAAATGCTCTCAGGAGCTTTGCCGGGAAGAAAGCACTAGACGAAATATAGGAGTCCATTTCAGATCAAAACTCAAAATGTGCCCGCCTCCAACCACAGGGACACTCGGTTCTGTGGCTGAGATACGGTCAAACTAAGGACCAGAAACTCAGCGTCCCTTACCAGTGCTGCAGGAGCAGTTGGGGTCCATTTCGAGCCGAGATGAGGCTGGAGATCCAAGAAGGAGGTCTGAACAAGCAGCCGGGTGGTGGAAGGCGCGGTGGAGCCTAGGAGCCCGCGAGCTCCCTTTATAGTCAGGGGAGATCCGGGCGCAAAGGCTCCGCCCCGGCCCTTGCACGCGCCCCACCGAGTCAGCGCCGCCCGCCGCCCTTGGCCGGCGCTGAGCCCCTGGCGGGCCGGGCGCACTGTTCCCGGAGCGCGGCTCGGTGTGCACCGCGGGCCGCCCCTTTGGCACCGTCTCGCGCTGGAGGGCTGTCTGCCCGGCAGTACGCGGCGTCCCTTCGCCCCGCCAGACCTTCCCAATTCCCTCGGGGTTGTCGGCCACCCTGCCCCCGGTTTCTGGGAACTCAGCTTTGGCGTCCTGGCCTTCCCCCACCCTCTGCCCCTCTCTGTTGTCCTCAGCGTCGCCTTCTCGGAGCCCGTGTGCAATCCCGTGCTGGTGCTCACGTCTCTAGATAGGCGCGTGTGGGGAGCAGAGCGAGGGAGTTGCGTGCAAAGGACTGGACGCGGATGCTGTGCCTTCCCCCGCCGCCTCTGGCATTGCCTGTCCCTGTCCCCATATAGGTCCTTTGACCATGCTTCTCCTTTATACAGCAACTTGGGGAACACAGAGCTCTGCCTCAAGTTTTTTCATTCGCCAAGTCTGAGGGGATGTATAGGAACATTTGTCAGGGTCCTCCACTGCGTAAATCTCCAGGGGCTCCCCACAACCTAGCCAGCCTTCCCCACTCCGGGATGGCAAGTCCCAAAATGGGGATTCCCCCAAGGGAGGACTCATTTTAGGTGATGTACTGACCCCGCGTTGAGCAAAGTAAAGCAAGAAAAGTGGTTATTTTT